CTCCAGGAGGACTCCTCTGTGGCCACAGAGGTGCCTCTCAGCAGCAAAGGGAGGATGGTTCCCTTTGGCTGCCCCACACCAGCAATGGGACAGTGGTGCCATGTGCCCCTGGAGGATGGACAAGGCTGGGCAGGGGTGTCCTCCCTGGGACCAGCCCAGCAACCTGGCAAACAATGTGCACTGAAAATGTCACTGCTGGGGTCCCTGGGAAAATGAGAGCATTGATTCAGGATGATAAATGGCATCCCCACTTAAAAACACACGAACCTTCTGCCACCTCCTGCTCCCACTCCCCTGGGAGCAGCAGAGCTCCCGGTGCAGGATCCCACCCACAGCAGGGCTGGTTTTGCATGTGTTTTGGCTCAGCACCCTCTGAAAACTGGGGAGAGAGTTCCTGTGCTTCCAGATGGATTCCCAAATGGAATCCCAAACGGAAGTGTGCTGGAACTGTGATCCCAGGAGCTCAGGCTCCAGCCAGCTTCATCCCATGCCAGGAGCAGTGCTGGGGAGGTGTCTCAGGCAGGAACAGGCCCCGTTCCTGCTGTGAATCTGTTCCCCAATGTCCAAGGGGACCTGCTGGGACCACTTGCCCCGGGGCTCTCAGGTCCATCCTCAGTCCTTGGAGAAATTCCCTTCCCAGAGGGGGAGCAGGAGGGGCACAGAGCTGCCTGCCCAGGGAGCAGGAATGTGCTGTGGGATTCCCCCTCCTGCCTCGGGGTGCAGGTTGCTCCCAGCTCTCACAACAGGCTCAGCACTCTGCCAACAGAATTTAGCCACAACCCAGAACACATTACTGAAAAAACAAACAACAGGAACATTCTTCTCCTGAATTCCAGGGCTCTTTCTGCTTCTGATCTCCCAGACAGACCCTGACAGCCCATGTCCTCAGGGAAGGCTTGGTTGGAGTTCCTGCAACCTCAGTGTGAGCTCTATCTCACCCCGGGGTGTGCACAGGGGGCCAAAGGTACCTTTTTGCTTCTCCACACAGAGGCAGAGCGAGGCATGAACCACCTCCACCTGCCCTGGTTCCTGTGTTCCCAGACTTCTCCTGGGTTCCTGGGTTCCAAGACAAGCCATTCCTTGGCTGGCTGTGCAAGATTGCACAGTGGCCTTGGGGGATCTTGTGCTGAATTGCTGAGCCCTGGTGCCTTCCCTTGCTCCTCAGCTTGGGAATAGGCTCTGCCAAGCTCTTGCAGTGCCTCATGCTCCTGTGAGAGCCTTCATCCCACAGAGGGGACACAGCCCCAGACAGGAGGGTGGAAGGGACCCAGTAGGCACATGAGCCACGGATCCACAGAGCTGTGCCTCCTGATCCACCGTGTGCCATCCTGACGTCCAGGCTTCAGATGTGCCCCAGTCCCTGGTGCCCGTGGCCAGGCAGGAGCCCTGGGAACAGCTTTACTCCCCAGGGAGCGGGAGGACAGTCAGCAACATCGCGGGGCTCCGACGGCCGAGGTGCTGCGGATGATCCGGGTGGTGATCCAGGGAGTGAAGGAGCCTTGGAGGAGCAGGCGTTTGCCTCGCAGGCAGCCCCTTGTGGCAGGTTTGCACATGCTTTCCCACCCCGAAATCCTGCCGGAGGTTTCCGTCCCAGGAAGCCCTTTTGTGAGCGGCAGCTGTATGTAAATCAGAAGGGGAATTGGTGGGTGGCAGGGAATTCCCACGAGGATCAGGATAGAAGGCCCTGGGGAAGGGTCTGTGATGGTATCAGGGCTCTGCCAGCGCTGCTCCACCCACTGCACCTGCTGCTGTGGGTTGCACACAACTACACAGTTGTAGGGGAAGGGAGATTCCCCGTGCCCAGGGCAATCCCGAGCAGATAGAAGGGATCCCAACAGCAGGAAAGGCAGAGAGGCAGGGAGAGGTAGGATGGGGAGCAACCCCCTCAGCAGGACACGGGATGGTGAGGAGCACGGGGACACCTCGTACTGCCCATTCTCTCCCCAGAGCTGACTCGAGCAGCTCCCCTGCTTGTGCTCTCCAGGACACTTCCCCTGGGCAACTTCTACCCCTGTACCCTGGGAATGGATCCCCTACAGCCTCTCCAGCAACCCTGTGGATTGAAAACCAAAGGGATATAGAGGCAGAATCAGCCAAGGGCTCTGCATGTGTCCTGGACTTGGTAAAGGTTGGTCGGGAACACACCGGCTGCATCTCAGCATTTGGCTCTTCCAGAGCTCAACAGGTCATGGTGAGATCCCCCTGCCCTTCCCTTGGCTCTACCCTGACCTTGACCGGCCGGTTCTGGGGGTGCAGAGGGATCTCAGCTGCCTGTACCACCCCACGAGCTGAAGTTCCCATGCAGGACCCCACAGAGATCCATCCTGGGCTGTCCCCGACTGCAGCTCCTCAGGGCAGCAGGAGAGAGCTGACACCGTCTCCAGGAGCTGCTGTGCTCCTCGGGAATCATCGCTTCCCCGGATGTTCAGACTTTACGGCCAGCTGGGGGCCGGGGCTTGCGCTGAGCTCTGGTGCGTGGGTGTCTCCTCTCCTCACTGTCCAAACGCGCTGCTGTTTTTCCCAGATCCTGGCGATGGCATCACCTCCTCAGCGTTGGGAATGTGCGGTGAGGGGCTGGAGGCGCACGGCTTTCCCCATCCTCCACCCCCTGCGTGAGGGGTGTTTTGGTGGAAAACAAAGAGACGCCACATTTAAAACCGTGCTTTTCGTCGTTTCCAACTTGAAGCCTCCGGAGCCCCGGCGATTCCTGGGAGCTCTGGGACCCTCCTGTCCCCAGCCCCGTGTCCTGCTGCCCCTCGGCTGCCGGGCGGGCGGGACGAGATTGGCACACGGGGACACGGGCGGGACATCCCGGGGGCTCATCCCAATTCCCACCCCGAGCCGAGGCGTTGCTATTTTTTTTATCCCAGTTCGCCAAAATGAAGGGAGCTGGGACGTTCCCACGAAAGGCTCCCGGCTCATCCAAACTTGGCATTATTTTATACATTTTAACGAACAAGGAGCATCACCCTTCGTTAGTTACCGATGACATAATTTTATTGATTTTTTGATTTTTATTAATTAGCGCGCAAACCCCTGTTTGCCGGGTGTATCCCTCCCTTCCCGAGCGGATCGGCAGCAGGCGCAGCTCTTCCCCCCTGGAGCCGGGCTCCGTGTTCCTCTTGGGACGGCCCTCCCTTTTCCTCAAAGCAAAGGATCAGCCGCGCCCACACCGCTCGCGGTGCGACCGCTGATTCCCGACCGCGCTGATCAGCAGCTCTCAAACAGCCGCCAAGCTGGATTCGGATCCAGGGTGGGGTAGGCTCCCATCCCGGGGCGCTCCGGGACCCCCCGGACCCCGGGAACGGACCCGGGGCCCCCGAGGGGCGGGGCCTGGCACGGTGGGCGGGGCCTAACACGGTGGGCGTGGCCAAGGAAGAGATGATATTACGCTTGAGGGGGCGTGGTCTATGTTGGAGTGGGCGGTGTCGTTGTGGGCGGAGTCGAGACTAAAGTAGGCGGGGCTCGGCGTGTGGGCGGGACCGTGGTTCAATAGGGCGTGGTCGGGGCGTCCCGCCCCCTCAGCGCTCATTGGTGCTCGTCACCCCTCAGCGCTGCTCTGATTGGGTGCTCGCCTCGCTGCAGCGCCCGGGGTGGGCGGAGCGTTCCCCTCAGGCCGCCATGAGCTCCCGAGCGAGCTCCGCCTGCCCTCGGACACTGCTAGGGCTGAGCAGCTTGTGCAGGGATCTCACCATCCTTACAGGGAACAGTTTCTTCCCAATATTCCGTCTAACCCTGCCCTCTCTCAGCTTGAAATCATTTTCCCCTGTCCTGTCCCTCCATGCCCGTGTTCAAAGTCCCTCTCCAGCTCTCTTGGAGCCTTTTTAGGGACTGGAAGGGGCTCCAAGGTCTCCCACGTCTGAGCAGAGGTGAAACACATCTTGGGAAGGGTGAGGGACTCCCGCGGGAAACTTTCAGCTGGACAAACAGTCCAGTACATGACCATGGAAATAAAATACACTGAGGATGCCCTGGCCGAGCTTTTTAATTGAAGGGAAAGAGCAATTCTGCGGAGTTCCTTGATTTGGGCTCTGTGGGTGAAAATCAGGCACAGGGACTGTGTCTCGCCACCCCCTGCTTCCCTGGATACCCATGGAAGCTACAAGCCATTCCCAGTGTGCCGCATGCCCAGCACTGTGAGCTCCTGCCATGCCCTGCTCCTGCTCCGAGTGGCTGCAGAGCTGGAGCACGTGTAAGGCAAACCGCCCACTGTAAAGTATGTTTGGGTGTGGGAGAAGTTCTCCTCCTGCAGCCACAGCACTCTCCATGGTCTCCTGCCCATCCAAGGGTCACACGTTCACATTCCATGGCTCATCCCTGTGGTCCTGACCCAGCAGTCAAGGCACGTTGGTGGAGGCTCATCTGTGTTCAGCACCAAGTTCCCACATCAGCCTTGGGCAAAGGGCTCTGCCCCAAATGTGGGTTCACACCTGGGGCCTCGCTGCAAACCCCAGGCAGGACTTTGCTAATCACCAGCCAGCACTTCCAGCCATGGACAAGGGGCTCTGCTCCATGCTGATGGATCCTGGGGATTCCTGGTAACCCGTGGAGGCTACAGAACTCTTGTGTGTGGATTGAAGGGTTGTGCCAGCCTTGGGGCCACGGGCAAGTGGGTCTGAGAGTGTTTCTGGTGAGCTTTGGACCTCGGTGTTGGGTTTCTCCAGAGCTCAAAATTCCTACAAAACCTTGCCCACGCTGTGATGCCACTGGTTTGCTGAGCCCCAAGCTGCAAACAGGCCAGGGGGGTGTGAGAAACACCAGACTGGCTGCCCTCCCCTCCAGCTCCCTGAACTGGGCCGGACTGGGCGGAGCAGGCTGGGTCTGAACTGCAGAGGGGACCCTGAATGTCCCGAAGGCAGTGCCCGCGGGGCCGTTCCTGGCTCTGCTTTGCCCTCTCTCCACAGCACCAGGGCGGCTGCTGGAGGAGGGGAGGATGGAGGGTGGGGCTGCAGCAGACACGGCCCCGGGCCGGCCGGGGGTGCCCAGCACGGGGAGGGGTCCCCGTGTCCGTGGGCGGCACACGAGGGGCTCCGTCCCCCACGGGACCTACGCGCTCTGGAAGCCCCACACTTCCAGGAGCTGCACCTTGAAGTCCTCCTGGCAGAGCGGGGGGTTGTCGAAGGTCTCGCAGCGCTCCGTGTGCCCCCAGAGCAGGTTGGCGTCCAGGGACAGGGCTTGGCCTCCCCCTCCACCTGCAAGAGCGAGCGCCGGCTCAGGGCTGAGCTCCCGCCTGGGGGGCTCCGGCCCAGCCCGGGAGGGCTCAGGGCTGCGCCCACCCCTCGGCTCTCTGGCCCTGGGCTTGTCCTGACCCCGCTCCCGGCGCTGGGAGGGGGGCACGGGCTGTCAGTGCTGCAGGGGATTCTGACACCCCAGCACGGGGGGCACAAAGATCCCACTCCCAGCCCGAGCCTGACCCGCGTGTCTGCTCCGGTGGCCGTGCCCGGCCCCTCTCGGGCTGATCCCCTCCCACGTCTCCTCCATCCCACCCAGAGTGGAGGGGAGGGCTGGAAAGGACACTCCAGCCCCAGGGGCGCAAACCTGGGAGGTTCGGGCTGTGCTGCTCCCCCGCGGGGCTCTCGAAGGAGCACCCGGCCCTGGCGCAGCTGGGCACGGTCCTGCTCATGCGAGCAGGAGGGGCTGCCTTCACTGCCCTGCCCTTACTGTGACATCCCGAACCAGCAGCTCTTTGCCCTCGGGAGGTTTTAACCTGGAGCAGGGCCCTTTTCAGCCAGAGCAGTGGCGGGAGGTCGGTGCCCACCCCCGGGTGCCCCGATGGGTAATTAATTACCCATAACGATCCCGTCCCTTGAGCCGGACATGAACATGGAGGCTGTTTTGGAAGGCAGGAGGAAATGCCTGATGGCCAGGAACGGGGACAGGCGGCCTTTCCTGGGCGTGCTGGGCACGGTGAGGCGGCTGGAGCTGGGACTGCCCGGGGAGGAGCCGAGCCGGGGGTCGGGAGAGGGGGACGGCGAGCGCTGTCGGGAGCGCGGCACAGCCTTGGCCAGCTCCGGCTGCTTGATGAACACCCACTCGTACCTCTCTGCCTCGGGGCGCACCTGGAGAGCGGGACACACGTGGGGAGAGAGCCCTGGCCTTTGGGGCACTTGTCATTGCTGGGGGAAGACCTGGCCGGGGGGCAGGGGACAAATCATCCAGTCATGGAATAGTTTGGACCGAAGGGACCTTGAAAGGCCAGCTGGTCCCTGCAGTGAGCAGAGACATCTCCAGCCAGGTCAGGTTGCTCAGATTAAATGCTGTGAGCCGAGTCCAGATCTGGAGTAAGGAAGGGACAAGGCATCCTGGTAGGGACAGGGCTGCCCTGGAGGTGGCAGTGGCTGAGAAGTTGGTTTTGTTTTTGCCAGTGCTGCCAAAGATGGGCAAACCTGCACTGCCCACACTGCCAGGTGGATGCTGGGTGGATGCCAGTGGGATATCAGATGGGTGCTGCACTTTGTCCCCCGGATCTCTTGGTCCAACTCAGCCTGTTGCCTCTTTAGGGGTGCCAGGGCTGATTTGGGAATGCTCCATCCAGGAGCTGCCCTGCTGCCATCCCAGGAGGGTTCTCAGACCCACCCATGGGTATCACACGTTCCTGGGGGGCTCAGGGCAGCCCAGCTCACCCAGGGCAGCAGTTGGGTCTCCCTTTGCTCTGATCCAGCACAGCAATTCCTGCCAGAGCTCAGGGCAGGGCTGGGGCCGTGGGGAGGAAGCACCTCGGGGCTCACCGTGCCCTGAGGGGCCAAGGAAACAGTAATGAAAAGCCAAACCCAGAAATAACCCACGACTTACAGTGAACACAAAGCACTCTCCTGTCCCAAAAAAGGCCGATGCTGCCCCGCTCTTCTTCCTTTCACTCCAGTCAGAGGAGAGAAACGCCCCACACACCTTGGGAGAGAGCAGAGGGATCAGTGGGGGAGCAGGACCAGAGCCAGCCATGGCCCGTGGGGTCAGCAGGGCAGGGGCTCTGCTCAGTCCCTGGGGGAGTCAGGGAGCCAAATTCTGCTGTGCCAGCTGAGTCCTGCACTGACAGTCACTGGTGCTCTGGCCAAGAGTCCACTCGGCTTCTGTGCCCAAGGCTGACCCTGGTGTGGATGTCCTTGACCTGACCGTGGCTGGAAGGGACCTACTGAGGGCTGGAACTCGTGCCTGTCCTGGGCACAGCCAAGGAAGAACATGAGCTAAAATGTGTAGGAAACAAGTTTTATAGATCACCTGCACGGGGCCCTGGGGGTGGCAGGTGTTTGTCTCCACACAAGTGTCAGGCTTGGGACATCAGCACTGGTGGGTCAATAAAGCTTTGGGAGACCTGAACAATTCACAGAAGTTGCCTCTGCTGTTGGATGAGAGTAGAGGGATAAAATACAGGTTTCTGAGCCCCTCTCAGAGCCCCTGGGAAGAGCCCTGGCTCAGGGGGTTTGCAGTTATTTCACGACTTCGAGCAGAAACTGTCCTTGTTTCTCCTCCATTTCCCTTGTGTGGCTGCTCCTGCAATCAGTGGCAGAACTTTGCACTTAGTGCTTGGAAAGCAAGTCCTGGCTCAGACAAAGCATCTGCTGACTTGAGGAAAGTCTGCTCAGCAAGGATTCATGACTTGTGTTTGCAGTAAAGGAGAATCACTCGTGGCCCCTCTTCCTCTCACCAACTCCTAGGAGATGGAACAGACCCCAGGGCAAGGCAGGAGAGGGACCAGACAGCCCTGTGGTTGCTCCAAGAACTGCCAGTGGGGTCAACCCCCTGTTCCCTTCCCCAGCTCACTTGGGGAACACTCACCTCCCCCTCAGTGGTTTTGATGAGCAGCACGGTCGGTTCGTAGCCCTCACAGCACGTGTAAAACCTGCAGAGATGGACAAGGGGGTCGGGCTGGGGGGTCTCAGACCCCAGAGCAGTGAGCCCAGCATGTGACCAGCACAGGGCTGGGGAGGAGAGGAGGGGAGTGGTGGCTCTTCCCAGCAGGCTCAAGGGAGCTCATGGAAGGACACAGCAGTTACGAAGCTTGAGCATCTCCAGGGTTTGTGCAGAGCAGAGGGAGTTGCCTTATGAGACTTCCCAAGTCATCACCTTTGCTTGGTGAAGCTCAGACAAACCCAAACACTCAAACCCTCCCACCCTACCATACTCATGGTCTTGAATCAAGCCCAGGACAGTCCCCAGCAGCCCCCCATGTGCCCTGAGGACACTCTTGTGTTTCTCCTTTCTACAGCACCAACCCCTGCCCAGTTTTCACCCCACACACCCGACCTGCCCAGCCCCTGGGCAGGGGTTGCTTTACCTCTGCAGGCTGCAGCCATCCTGGGAGGTGGAGAGAAGAGCAGCAGGGGGGAAAGAGGGAGAAGCGCTCGGGGATCCAGGACCAGACGAGGCGCATCTCCTGAGCCGTGACGATGCTGGAGCTGAAGTTCTGCATGTCCACGGCCAGGTGGAAGGACTGCCTGCACGGGGGATGGACATTGTGCTGAGCTGTGGGGCCCATCTGCTTTTTGGGGTGCAGCCCCAGGCATCAGGTTTTGTCCTGCTTTCTGCACTGTGACCTTTCTGCCACCACCACCAGCTCTGGCTGTCCTGTGTCTCCCAACAGGGTCCCCCGAGGGCTGGGAGGCCCCAGCACAGCCAAAGCCATGGGGGTCCCTGAAGCTCCCCCGTGTGTCTCCACAGTAGCTCACATTTTGTCTGCTCAGCCCCACGAGCTGGCAAAGGGAGAGGTCTCCTTACCTGCTCTGCACCATGGTTATGCCCCTCTCCATTAACGCCTTCCTGTTGGCCATCTGGAGCAGCCAGATTTCCTTGCGGGAGAACAGCCGGATGCCAAAGGCTCTCTCCAGGAGTTTGTCGACAGTCACGTGCTCGGCAATGTTCTGCACGAAAGCCTGCAGGTCTGCCTTGATGTCAGTGCCCTCCAGATGGGCCGAGCTCCCCGAGAGCCTGAACTGCTTCAGCAGGGCCAGGGCGATGCGGTACAGGACCTTCTGCCCCTCCAGCAGGAACACGTCCAGGACACGGACAGGCGTAAGCGAAGGGCAGGTCGTGGAAGAGCCACGACAACCACTCCGAGTAGACCTCAAAGACGTTGTCGGAGGCACCGGCTATGAGTTTGTGAGCTGCTGGGCAGTGCTTGTTGGCCAGGTCCCCAAAAGTCATGCAGGAGGCCTGGTGGGCCAGGAAGGACTGGTCGATGTAGCTGGTGTGGGGAGCGTTGCTGGCGAGGAGGCGAGAGATGCTCTCGAAGCACTGAGCTTCGTCCTCGCTGTAGTGCAGCAGCAGCGCCACCAGGGAGGGCAGGATCGGGCTGTAGGTTATGTCAGGGAAGAGGTTGCCCACACAGATGAGGATCCTTTTCAGGGCGGTGACCCCTTCCAGGTTGAGGCAGTACGTGGGCATGGGGCACCCCTCCAGGAACTCGGGCAAAGGGTGGGAGCTCCCGCTGGGCTTCCCGAAGAGCCGGCTCGCCACGTCCCTGTAGACCAGAGCGTCGGGGGTGACGAGCCGGCAGGACACCTGCTGGATGAGCTGGTGGTAGAGCCGAGCCCTGAGGGCGTGGCTCGTGGCCCAGCAGCCTTCCCTCGCCAGCTTCTTCAGCTCCTTCCGGGGCTTGCTCAGGATGTCCCGGGGGATCTGTGCCGGCCGCTGCGGGTCCGGCATCCTGTCCCAGTCCACGAACTGTCCACAGCCCGGACAGGAGGAGGCGTCGGTGTCCCAGGTGTCAGCCTCGGATGTGACCACGATGGTGATTGGAGATGAGCCAAACGCCTCTGTAGGACAAAAACCTTTTATTCAACACTCTCCACTGCCCCAGCCAACAGCGTTTCACCCTGGCTGAGGGTGCTCTGAAGTCTTACAGCCACGTCCTGTATTTCTTTATTCTCCCCTGCAAGGGGAAGGTTCTCAGGCTTTGTCTGGCTGGAGCTGCTTGCCTTGCCCTCTCCTGCTCCCCTCGGCTCAGGACCCTGGGGAAGCTCAGGGCCAGGTCCCATCTGGGTGTCAGGGCTGCTTCTCCCACCGTGAGGGGCTTTGTACCCCTCAAAAATCTCCTGACTTCCCAGCTTGTGACCTGCTGAGTGGTAGATGCAGAGAGCAGGGACAGTCCCTGTCCCCGGGATGTCCACAGGACGTCACACCACCGAGGAGGACGAGCAGCTCAGTCCCAGCCCAGCCCCGCAGGGGCAAGGAGGGACCTCATGGGCAGCAGAGCCCAAGCGATGCTGAGGCCGAGAGGGACCATCGGCATCGTGTCCCCTCCCAAGGCCAGCGCGGGGCAGGAGGGTCCTGTCCGGGTCGGGCAGCTCAGGACGAGGCTGATCCGAGCCCAGGTAGAGGGAGCAAAGCCGCCCTCGGGTGTTTGCCCTCCTCCTGCTGCCTCCTGCCAAAGTGTCCCGACCCCTCCGGCCGCTCGGGAGCCGGAGAGAAGGGGCGAGGAGAAGGTGCTGCAGCGCCAGGGGCTCGCCGGGGTGCGGGGCTGCTCTGAGGGGTGCAGAGGGTCCCTGTTCCCCGTGTGCCCCACGCACCTGGAGAGACCCCGATCGGGGACCGCTCGCAGGGACTGGGGAGCACCTGAGAAGTCCCTCGGGGACAGAAGGTCCCCATCGGGGGAGGCTCCCGCACACAGCACAGGGCAGGGCTCGGGCAGCCGCCAGCCCAGCTCCGGGAAGAGCAGAGCCTGAGCTCCTCCTAGAGAGGCGGCAGCGGCATTTCCCCGGGGCTGCGGGACAGCTCGGCTCCAAACCCTGCACGGGAGACGGGAGCTGTCCCGCCTGGGTGAGCTCTGCTGGGCAGGGATTCATTGGCAGCGATAAAGTCAATTAACACACGTTAATTCTCGGGTGTATTTGTCTCGGATGTGCTGAGGTGCCTGGGAAGTCACGGATGGATTCGCACCGAGCCAAACCTCTGCTTTGGCCCCGAAGGGCCACGGGGGGACAACACATGGTGGCACATCGAGAGGGTCCTGACGCCTGGGCTGGGTCCGGCTCTGGCTCTTGCTCTCCAGCTCAGTTTGGCCCCTGCTCGAGGTCAGGAGGACCAACAGATCGGGTTCAGTGCTGGTTCAGGGAAGGGGCAGCAGTTTGCTGCGGTGGCTGCTCATCCTGACTCCCTGCCCTGGAGACATCCCGACCCCAGCACAGTCCCGCAGGCTCCTGGCCACAGAAACCAGGCTGAAACAACACCGGGGCTGAAGCAGGGGCTGTTTGCCCCCGCGGTCCCCAAATTCACCTCTTCCTCTCAGCCGTGTGCCCTGCCCGGAGCCCTGAGGAGCATCACCCCGAGCCCACCCGGCCCCCGGTGCTGGCTGGTGGCTCCAGCTCCGCCCGCCCCGGGACAAGCCCGGCATTGGGGCAGGGACTGTGGCTCTGCTCCAGCCCCTCTCCTCTGCTCCAGCCGCTGTCCCCGCTCTGCTGGACGTGTCCCCGGCCCGAGCGGGGCCGTCCCGCACTCACCTCGCCCGGTGCCCGTGTCCTCGGCCCCGGCCCGCTCGGCCCTGGGGAAGGCCCCGGCCGCCCCCCCGGGGGAGCCGGGCAGGCTGAGCCCCACCCGCAGCATCGCCCGGGTCGCCTTTGTCCCCGGCACCTGCCCTGACTTTTAAGGCGAGGGCACCGGGGTTTATTTGGAGTAAACAGAGCGAGGGGTGGAGCAGCTCCCGCGCCCGCGTCGCCCCTTCCTGCCCCAAATCTGCACCGAGGCCGGGCGGGGATGGAAACACCCCACGGAACGAGATACCATCAAACAGCAACACGGCCACTAAACCGAATCCTTTATTTTTCCCACGGATAACCTTCATCTTCCCGCTCCGGGGCTCAGGGGCAGGAGGTGCCGCGGGGCCGAGGGGGCCGGGGCTGCGGCCGCCGCCCGTCCTTGAACGAGGGAAAGGCAGAGCGTGGGTTTGGAGCCGCTTCCCGCTGGATGGTCCCGGGGAGCCGGGAAGAGCGGCACGTGAGCAGCAAGTGCCAGGAGCCGGTGACAAGGAGGGGTCGGGACCACGAGGAGCCAGTGCCGCCCTTGGGACGCTCCTCGGGGCTGTGCCGGCCGTGTGTGCGGGGCGGCTTCAGCACAGCTCACCAAAACCACCAGGCAAATTTGGGGCGATGTGCCCGTGCCCCCACAGCCCCCGCCCCTCCCGCCCGCCCAGCGGGAGCTCAGACCGCGACTGCTGCAGGCACAGCTGTGGTGCTGCAGCGTTTCCAACCTGCCCCCGGGAAAGGGTTGTTATCGATTGACTTTCAGCCTCAAAACGCCTTGCAGAGCTACAAACCCTACGTTGTGGTCACAGTTGAAGGAAAAGTCCTCTCCAACAGCTGGGAGATGCTCCCAGCACATCACCCCGATCTGACATTGCTGCTGGAGAACTCACAGCTCAGGCTGCACTTTGTGTGCATATTTACAGATTTTTAAAGATTTTTATTTCCCTTTAAAATCCTGATATTTTCTGTCGTGGTAAGAGCAACTGCAGGTTGTTCTTGCCCTGCCTCCCTGCCTGCGGGTCCGTCTGCAGCACATCCCTGAGCATCCACTGGCACCGGTGGTCTCAGGGCATCTCCCGAGCAAGTGCAGCCCCTCTGCAGCCCCTCGCCTTTCTGGATGAGGCACCTTCTCCACCGTGTGCCAAAATCTGTTGGGAGCAGCACGGCTGTCCTGGCATCCCTCTCCTCCCTCTGCTCCAGATGAGCCTGGAGCCCGAGGCAGTGGGAACGAGGGGCTGTGTCAGCAAAGGACCCCCCAGGGGCTGTGTCAGCAAAGGGCCCCCCAGGGGCTGTGATGGGTGGGAGGGAGACCAAGGGGGTCTCCCAGTGGGAGGCTCCCAATCTGCACTCAGAGCGTGCCTGGGCACCCAGTGGGCAGCTCTGGCTGCACCCAAAGGGGCAGGTGATGGCCCCCAGCCCTGCTCCTGGGGGTCCCAGTGCCGAGGGATCGTTCCTCTCTCTCCAACTCAAACCCTTTTTATTTATTCTCTCTCCAAATCAAACCCTTTTGCCCAGGCTTGTGGGTCCTGCTGCCTTTCCCTGGACCTTGTTGGGCGCCTTCTCCTCGTGTGCCTTTTCCAGGACGGTGGATGCCTCTCCCTGCCCGTCCGACGCAGCTCGGAAACCTCGGGCAGTGCCCCCGCCCGCTCCCGGCAGCCGCTCCGGAGGTGGGAGATGGAAGTGAATTAGGGACAGGGCGAAACGAAACATCGCTTCGTGCGTTTTTAATGGTGAAAAAATTAAATATGTAGAGGCCGTGTGGCTCCAGCGGAGCAGCGCAGCCAAAAGCCATGAATGTTTGATGGCCAGAGCTGCGGGAGCAGCCGGATTTGGGAAGAGCCGTGACAGGGGAGATGGAGCCCAGCCCGAGGGGCTGCCAGGGCCGGCGGGGAGCGCAGAGCCCGGGGCACCGCTGGCCCTTGGGTCCTGCGGAACGCAGCGATCTCAGCCCCCCAAGGGCAGGAGTGGGGTGCGTGTCCCTGCTCCCCACCCCAGCACGTCCCCAGCCCTGCCCAGCGAACCGAGGTGATGCCTGGGGGTGCTCAGCACCTCCCCAGACCTGCCCCGGGGCAGCTTTGCTCGGGTTGGTTCCAGGGCACGGGGGCTCCTCTGGCTCCGAGTTCAACACCCCCTCCAGCCCCAGGGGCTTCAACGTGGGGTTGGGCGCTCTCTGGGAGCACAGCGGGGTCACAGCCCCCAGGAACGTGCTGACAAGGATGCACTTGTTATCATTATTGTTATCATTATCGTTATCAATATCGTCATTATCGTTATCAATATCGTCATTATCGTCATCAGTATCGTTGTCATTGCAGCAGCAGCCCCGTGTCACGAGGGCAATAAAACCTCTCTGTCAGTGTCTCGTGGCTGCTCCTCAGGCACCGGGCCCAGGTTTGTGCCTGCATTGATTTGCGTCACCAATCACACCCAGGAACAAAGAGGAGAGGCCAAATCCTGGTGGATCCGGGGTGGGAAGGGCTCGTTGGGCTTGGACAGAGGCTGCTGTGGGAGTGATGGGCTGTGCCCACTGCCAGGTGACTGCAGGGCGCTTGGCAGCCAAAACAGGTGCTGTGCCAACACCAGCAGAGTCACCGGGGACCAGGGGGATGGGGATGAGGGGGACAGGGACATCAGCATGGGCAGGGAAGGGCAGTGACTGTCATCTGGAGATGGGCAGGGAAAGGGGATGGAGCGGAGGATCTGGAGAAGGAAACTGGCAGCTGCCTCAAGGGAAGGAAAGGCCTGAGCCAGGGATGAGAGGCCTCTGGAGCCCACGGGGCTGCTCTGAGGGGCACGGGACTGCAGGTGACACTGTGGGGGGTTAAAGTGACCCTTGAGCACCAGGAACTGCCACCCAAGGTTGGAATGGGATAGAGTGACCCACTGCTTGGCACTGGGGCCATGTGGCAGTGGGGAGGGGAGGAAGGGAGGGTGAGACGTGAGGAGGAAGGGGAAAGAGTGACCCGCTGGGGAGAAACAGCAGGAGGGGCTGGGCAGGGAGGGATAGACATGGCTCTGTGGTGTGAACATCTGCACCCTGTACACACAGATCTGCACCCTGTACCACACACATCTGCACCTGTACTGAGCACATCTGCACCTCTGTACCTGTACTGAGCACATCTGTTACCTGTACTGAGCACATCTATACCCTGTACCTGCACATCTGCACCTCAGTACCTGCACCAAGCACATGGCTCTGTGCTGTGATCATCTGCACCCTGTACCACACACGTGCACCTTGTACCACACAGATCTGTACCTGCACTGAGCACATCTGCACCTCTGTACCTGCACTCTGAACTTCTGCCCCTCTAAAACCTGAACTTCTGCACCTCTGCAGCCACCCCCACACATCTGCGCCTCCCCACTGAGCCCCTCTGCACCTTGTACCGCACAACCAGCACCGCTGCACCCTCGGGCCCCGCACCGGACACCCCATTCCCGTTCCCCGCAGCCCTGCACCTCTCACTCCTGTATCCCCGTATCCCTTTATCGCCGTACCCCTGTACTCCTATATCTCCGTACCCCTTTATCCCTGTCCCCCCGTATCCCGTATCCCCATCCCCGTGTCCCTCTCCCCTCCCTCCCCTCCCGGCGCCTGCGCGCTGTGGCCGCTCCGGCGGAAGCGCCGGGCCCGTTCCGGGGCCGCGATGGCTCCGGAGCCCTGGTGAGCTGGGCCGGGGCTGGAGCGGGGTCGGGCGGGCCGGGCGGGACCGACCCTTCGGGGCCTCCCCGGGGCTCCGGGGCCCGTCACGGGTGGTGGGAGCGGGGCCGGGCAGGGCCCGAGTGGGTGCGGGGGTTGGACCTTCCCCTGACGGCCCTTTCCCAAAGCCCATCCCGGGGTGTGTTGGGTGCTTGCCTTCCTCGGCCCTTTTCCCAAAGCCCATCCCGGGGTGTGTTGGGGGTGTTTTGCCTTCCCCTCCCGGCCCTTTTCCCAAAGCCCATCCCGGGGTGTGTTGGGGGTGTTTTACCTTCCCCTCCCGGCCCTTTTCCCAAAGCCCATCCCGGGGTGTGTTGGGGGTGTTTTACCTTCCCCTCCCGGCCCTTTTCCCAAAGCCCATCCCGGGGTGTGTTGGGGGTGTTTTGCCTTCCCCTCCCGGCCCTTTTCCCAAAGCCCATCCCGGGGTGTGTTGGGGGTGTTTTACCTTCCCCTCCCGGCCCTTTCCCAGGCCGATCCCGGGCGGTCCCGGCGGGTCCCGGTGCTCCTCCCGGTGCCCCTCCCGGTGCCCCTCCCGGTCCCCCCGGGCTCAGCCGCTCCCCCGCTCCCTCCAGGCTCTCCCTGCTCGATGCCGCTCGCCAGCTCGCCCAGGACATCGCCGAGAAGATCCAGGAGCGGAACCGGTGCCAGCGGAGCGGGGAGAGCTCAGCCAAGGTACCCCGGGACGGGCTTTGAGCTGGGTTTGAGTTTGGACCCTTCTCGATGCGGGTTCAGCTTTGAATCTACCGGGGTCGGATGTGCCCGGGGAGCCCGGAATTCCCTGGCAGGGGGTGCAGAGGGAAGCGGGAGCTGCGGGAAGGGGCAGAGCCGGTGCCGGGACGGGGGTGACGCTCCGGCCCTGCCCCAGGTCCGGCTGTGTCGGTGTCACCGCTGGGGACCCGCAGGGACAGCTGTGGTTGATGGCAGGAACCCCCCGTCAGTGCTCTGTTCTTCGGGGTTCCCGTAAAGACAACAAGGATGCAAACTCTAAATTAACAGAGGCCTTTCAGCCTCACCAAAGTCACCTTGGGTTTAACAGAGCTGAGTGTTTCTGTGGGCGATAGCGCTGCTTTTAAAGGAGCAGCCCTGGGAGCGTTGGGCTCACTGTGCCGGCTGCTCGGGGCCGTCACTGCCGGGATCAGAACTTTCCCAGAGCTCCCGAGGCTCAGAGGTGCCGGGATGCACATCAGCTGCTCTGTGCCCCTCTCTGGGAATAGTGACCAGATGTTTCTCCCCACACGGCTGGATCGCTGCCCTCTGCAGGGGCTCTACAGCAGAGGAAACAGGAACTTTGCAGCCTTGTTTTAGCCACGTTTTTGACAAAACATAAGACCAGAATTAAATATAAATGAGAAGTGGAAGTGAGAGCTTACCCAGGAAAA